ACAAACTGCAATAAAATACCTTCAAATGTAAGGATTGTAAGTGATGAGAAGCAGCCATGTTTTTTTTTTTTAATGAATTTTTTAAAAAATATAAAAAGTACTTCAACCTTATAAAATGATGTCGCCGTTGGACATGGTTAGCAATGGGAAGCAACGGCTAATTACATGTTTCACCACGTTGTACTGAATTCCAATATTGAGAATGATCAAATCAACATGAAATTACAGTACCGACGGTGGCCAAAGCTCAAATGAGCCGCAAAAGAAATCTGCTCATTTTAAGTCGGAGGACCGAATGACGACGTAGCATAGTTTATCCTTTTTAGGCTTCTTTTTAATGAAGCCGTGCGTGTTCATTTGTTTAACATTCTCCGCTAATTTCTGACGACAGCGATTGTTCACATTTCCCCGGGAACTTGTAATGAGATGATAAATCTTGCGAGTTTATTATTGGACATGAAATGAGCGGTTACTCCAATAACAAGTGGCGCTTTTGATGTGGAAGACTGATGAAGATGGCGGAAGGAAAAAATAAAAAATAAAATAAAAGCGGCAATATCACGGCCATTTTGAGCCAGGCCTCAACATCGTAAAGACGCGCGCCTGTCAAAAGATGGACGACATCTTACATGGACACGTTAAGACAGTAAAAGTTCAGCTCTTCCTCATCATCGTAGGGGAGGAGGAAGAGAAAGCGCTCCACCGCTCAGGTTAAAAAAAAAAAAAAAAAAAAATCCACCTGGCTTCCAACATATGAGGTCATCCCCGTGCACATCTGTCTCCAACATGTCCGCCGGGAGTTCAATCATGGCTCGGCCAAACACGCACACGATTGTTTCTGGAAATAAATATTAGGCCTAATTCGCCCTGTGATTGGCGCTGGCGGCTTCCTGTCCGTTGAGGGGGGGGGGACACACACACACACACACACACACACACACACACACACACACACACACACACACACACACACACACACACACACAAGGGCTGATTAGTCAGTTTTGCTAATTATTGCAAATGTAGTTATCGGAATGATTTGCTTTTTTAAGTTGATTTTTTTTTTGTAGTTTCCGTAGTTCAAAGCGCATACACGCTGATGTGCACTACTTGCACTAACAACATGGCAGGAGGAACTTATTCACATAAGCCAATTAGGCGATTCGCTCGGTACACTTTGTGATTTTTCGAACCCCTTTAACGGCCCTTTTTGGGGGGGGGGGTCAAAGCAACGACGCTAGCAATTATTTTTCCTTTCCCCCATAAGTTTAATTTCCGCCAAGAAAGTCACAAAATGTTGTCTGTTCTCAAAGGAACATGGCAGGCAATTATGGAATAAATCGCTGTGAAAATACGTCGTAAAAGCAGGGATTCATCCCCATGTTGACCGGGGGTATGTACTTCCAAGTCATGCTTTACTTGTAAACCACAACATGTATTATGATTTAGATTGAAAAAAAAAAAGTGTTTTTCTTTTAAAAATAGGCACATTTGTAATGACTCAAAATTTGATGAAAGTTAAGCTGGATAAACAATGATCTGAATCTAAGATTTTTATTTTCAGGCCGGTGTTAGGTACGATGGCGGCTTAAAATGGTTGATGATATGACTGCAGCAGGATGCTCTTCAGTTGCAGACTTCATAGAAAATTCCAGGCTATGTTAGTTTAAGCGTTGTTAGTTTTTCAAGACCCTGTGACAAATATGAGCACTTGTTTTGTTTTTGCAAGCATATGGCTGTCAAGTCGTGAAGGTATTTATGAGTGCGTCCCAAAGCATCTCACCACCAACAAAACAAAGCGACTAAAATCGCACAAAGATTTGCGGTGTATAGCTACCACCATCTTGTGGACATTTGTAGAATGAAGTCAAGTCAATGCATGTTTATTTGAAACAAATAAATAAAAGTCTAGCAGATTAAAAAATGACTGAAATATGTACTAATGCTGCCTTTAGAAATGAAGAAACTAAGTAATAAAAGGAGAAATGGACTTCAAACTAAAAAGGTGAAAACCAAAAAGAGGAAGACAAAGAAACCAAAAAAATGAGCACATAGAATGCACCACTCTTCCTCTTTTGAACAACACGAAAGCTTTGTGTAAAATGCTGTCCTGCTCCTTTGGCAGTTAGGTGTTAAAAATGAACGGAAGTAAGACTGGTGGAGTTAGTATTTGAATGGAAATTCTGAGAAAGACACGGGAAGTGAGTTCGGTATTTTCACATTATATGCTAATGGTCACGAAAGGTTTGTAATTTTGCTGTTGGTCCTTTAAAGTGTATCCAATTGACATTTTTCAAATAAAACGAGGCTCAGGGAAGACTTAGCATTTGCTGTGGGCGGAGCCGGAAGAACCCACATTTAACAGGTGCCTGATCAATCAATCCGGGACTGTTGTGCACTATTACTGCTCCTGCTGTGAGGAGTATATGTCTCTGCTTTTCTTTTTTCAGTCAGCTTCTGTGTTGACATCCTTGACGTGACACGGGGGGGGGATTCAGCGCCGTTTACCCCCGCCTCCAAAAGAATAAAACAGTCAAGTAGGCGCAATGAGGCTTCGCTGATAAACGGTGCATTATCTCTGGTATGCAATGCTGCATGTTCTCACACACTTTCCAAGGCTAAAGCCAGAGCTAATGCTATGCTACATGCTAAGAATAGATGGTCTTTCACGAACTTTTACAGAACACCGCCGTAAGGTGTATTAGCTGTAGGGCAGAATTTTATGTCACTTTCTAACATTCTCAACTGTCACACAAACACAAGCTAACCGCTGCCGTGGATAAAACACTGACTAAAGTACGGGGCGGTCGATGATATGCTAACTCCTCGTGGGACATAATCCTTGATGACGGTTCGTCTTTTGGAGCAAGTGCCCAAGAGCTGCCAAAATGATGCTCGGGCATTTAAAACGCAGACAGGCTCAGAGATAGCCAGTTAACAGCCCGCCACGAGCTTCATTCATTGACTCCCGCCAGGCCCCAACTTTTTAAGCCAGACACACTCAAAGTCACCGGGATAAGAGCGTGGCATGTAAGGGTGGCGACCCCAAGTGGACAACCGTAATACCTGCAACCTCACATGCAAATCTTGTTGTTTTATCATGCAAAATCAAATCTTAGCTGATGACTCAATTTGATAATCAATAGACTAATCAGTTCTAAGAATATTCAATAGCTGAGGTCAAATATGCTTACGTCTCTTTTAACGTCACCGATTCAACAGTTATTTTGAAATAAGTGTTGCATAAAGTGCTGCTCTAAAAACTCATGAAAACTAACTGCACTTTGAAAAGCAAAAGTCAAAACAAAACAAAAAGTAACTGATGAAAAAAATCTAAAACTATTAACTTAAAAAAAAAAAAAAAAAGCCAAGGAAAAAAAAAGGTCACCCAGATTCAAGGTCTAAGATTGACTCATGTCATGCATGAATGACGGCAGTTTGTGCCACTGAAGAAAAGAAAAAACTCGGGGACATTCACCTTCAGTCTATGTTTGAATAAGGTTCAACTTTTTGCCCGCCAGGTCGAGACCGCATCCATGTACTGTACGTTATCTCTACAGCAGAAGTGCCCCCCACCCCCAACCCCACCTTGCTTCATTGCATTTGCTTCATCTCAGCGCTACCACATGTTTTCAATTTGCTGACCATGTTACGCAATATTATTTTTTTACAGGTCTTCTGGGAGGAAGCTCTGGAATTTTTGTGTGCTGGGATTCAAAAAGACGGGAAAAAGAGAACAAGATGATGCACTTGTGCTCACTTCCCGCTTAGGGTTTGGCGTGCGGATGTTTTTGAATGCCTTTGGAAGGCATGTGAGCACACTTGTGATTGCTCTACTTCTGTTTACCCTGCAGCCATACAACAATGGAACTCTGGATTGTGAAGGAATTATTGATTAGGATTAGAATTTCAACTAAATGATCATTTGTTGGTTTCATACAAAACAAAAAGAGAAGTGGAAGTGTACAGTGTACCATTGAGTTGATTTGAATGACATCCCTGTATTTGGGGTGGGGGGGCTAATGTTATCGAGTTAGTGGTACAGGGACTGAGTGGGTCGTGGCCACGTGTGTATCGTCTTGCTTCGTCACTGTGGTGAATGCATGCTATCCTGTGACAGATGCCGCTTCATTGCTTGTTAATCGATGATTGCAAGTTGCAATGTTCTCTACTGTTTTCAGCTAAAAAAAAAACATTCACCAGGGGCAATCACCTTGATGTTAAGCCTCTGGTGCACAATATGAGTGTCTGTTTGCAGAGATGAAATGAGCCGCCCCTTTGAAATTAATGATGAGAGGACAGCAACCTTATTTTATGGATGAACAGAGAGGGAAGGGGTACACGGACGCCTTATTGCTGTGGATTTTCCCCGGGAACTCCGTTTTCTTGGAGTTTGGAAGTTTACATGTTCTCCCGGTGCTTGCTTTGATTTTCTGTGTCTCCTCACTTCCTCCCACATTCCCAAAACATGTTTCTCAGGTTTATTGAAGACTGTAAGTTGGCCTTAAGTGCAAATGTGAGTGAATGCTTATTTGTCTTCACGTACGAATAATATTTAAACTACGTGTTTACTTTTAAAAGTGTCAACAAACAGGAAGTAAAGAAGACGATTTTTTTTTCAAATGTCCTCCGGGCTTCAGCAATGACATTAAGCACTTCTACCAATAAAGTTTTGTTTTTTCAATAAAACAATGGCCTCACGCATGCGCGCTGACATCAGAGCAGCGGACAGTAACGAATGGTGGCGAAAGAGGCGGAACCGGACCAGCACTATCCCGGCTTGGACACTTCATCTTCGGCATATGGACACGGACAGCACCCGCCAGAAACAAAAAAAAAGTGAACTCCAACTTTGTGCTTTTAAAATATCAACACTTTGTTGTCAAAGCGGACTTGTTACGTCAGTCCTGGTGCAAAAGGTCGCGAGGTTGAGCAAAGATAGCAAAGAACAGTTACGCAATAATAATAAAAACGTTTTGTTTTTTTTAAATCGGTCCTACCTGCGGATCCTCCTGCGATAATCTGGTGGGTGGCTTCCCGGACTATGCCGCGCGGTTTGGGGCTTGTCGTCGTCATGGTGGCCGCTTTTCCCCCCTGGCTGCTCAGTCAAGGCAAACACACGCGTAGTTAGCAACTAGCTAGCTAGCTCGCTGAATAGAGGTCCCGCGGCCCCTACTGTGACGTCACAGCCGTCACTTTTTTTTTCGGGAGGCACACTAACCCGAGTCGTGGATGTGTCGCCTCGCGTGGATCTGCTCGCAGCTCGACTTCACACACGCACACGTAGGGCGTGATGCGGGCCTGTTTAGATTTAACACCAGAACTCCTCTCGTACACTGTCGGAACCTCCTTTTGCTCCAAGCTTGCAGTTCAACTTTGGAGCCCCCCCCCCACACCCACTTCCATGCCCCCCGCCCTCTTCCAGTGATCAATACAGGACAAACATGACCACAAGATGACTTTTTGACTTCCAAAAATGTCGCTATATTATTTCAAATCGAAATGCATTAAATGGATAGATGAGTATTATGGAAGAATTGCCGTGTAGTAATTATATTGACATTTTGTAAATGTATTTTTAATGGATTTTGTTTTGTTAACAAATATAAAACTCTGAAAATATTTTAGAACAAACCATGCAACTTACTGTGGAGACCTGATAGGACAATTTGAAAATCTATCTATCTATCTATCTATCTATGTTAGATATTTTAATGTTTTTGTTTTTAAGTTTGACCTACTGTAAAAAAGCGTGCACATTACAGCTCTTACCATGCCTTGTCATATATAGCGTTGGTCAACCTCGCCCTAAATTCATAATTGCACATGGGCTGTTTCGTGTACAAACACAGCCATAGCAGATACGTGTCACTTGATATGTACATGGAAATAAACAGTAAAAAAAAAAAAAATGCCCACTTGGAGCAGCAGTTCAAGGACAGACCTCCTCCCACCTGCTGTAACACTGACATGAAGTTGAAAGTCAAACCAGTAAAACTGAAAGTGAAAAACCAGCATGTTGAAACAACAGAAAAAATAGAAAAGCACTGTCACTGGAAAAAGAAAGACACAAATGGGGAATCTAAATCGAAGAACATGAATAGATTACATTTTTAATGTCTGTTCTTTTCTACAATAATATATTAGGCCCTTAACTCTGCAAAATCGTGGATAGAAATCACGCTTCGGTGTAGAGCATATGAGTGCAGAATATATAAAACTCCCCCAAAAAAGGCAAGTGATTTCAGATTTTCCTTTGGAAGGACATCTGTCAATTATTGAGCTAAAAATGAACACAACTGGACCACTTTATTTTCACGGGACACACAAACATTTTTAACTCACAATCAAGAACAAACACATTCAAAACATTTTCCCTTTTTGAGCATGGCAAACATTTTTTAAAAAACAATGTTTTGGCAACAATAATAAATTAACGTTGGTCCACTAACAAGACAGCGGTTCAAAGAGCAATATGTTTTTTTGTTTTTTTTTCAGCGTTAAGTTAGTTCCTGTAAAATTAGCAAAATGCTAGACATGTTAGCCGCTATATACGTCGTTAGTGGTTCTGTCCCATTTTAATGCACACGTCGCAATTAAAAAAGAAAAATTGTGTAACATTCTACATGTCCAGTTGGGGGCAGCATTGAGTCAGACACCTTGTTAGTCATCAGGGGTACCGGAGCAAATAAAAAGGCCACATTTTTGTCTGTTAATATCCACAAAAAAAGTCATCATCGGACAAAGCACAATCTAAAGGATGGGGGGAAATGGCACGTTGTTACAGGTGAACTCCCGTTCTGTATCCCCCAGTTGGTCATTGTTTTTCTGTGTCTCTGGGACAGGTTGTGTCTCTTCCGTTTTGTTGCAACTCGTGGTACAAAAAAAAAAAGACTAATTTTGATTTCAGGAAACTAAAATCCATGATGGAGAATGAATTTTGTCCCATAGGCCTGAGGAAGACTAATAAAGACAAAAGAATAAGAAAAAGTACCTCATAGAATCTACTTTTCTGTCACAATAACCATGAAGTGGGAAAGCCGTTGATTGTAACTTATTATCTATCTTACCGAATGATTGTTCCTTAGTAACACATTTTCATTAGTTAGCAGGCTAAAGATAAATAAAAGAAACTTGAGCTAGGCACTTTTAGCCACGGCGATCAGAGTAGCGTGGGGACCTTGGTGGTGTAGTTCATGGTGGGGAAGTGGCGGGTATTCGCATCCCAGTGCGCTTGGGGCTCCTGGGAGGTATTGGGTGGAGCCCCCGGGGTCCAGTGGTTCATGTAGCTGGCCATGAGCAGAGTCAACTCCAGGATCTGAGGACGAGTAAAAACAGGCTAGCGCAAACAGGTTGTGGACTTGCGGGTTTTTCAGGTTACAAGCTGTTGTTGGACCGTACTCAAAGGGGAAAGATGCTGATGACACGGGTGATTTGCGTCACGAACGCCTTCACGGAATGAATGAAACGTTTAAGGCAGCACTATTATACTGCCCTCTGGTGGCCAAGGTGAGAACACCAGAAGGAGCAGTATCATGACCATTGAATTGAAGCCAAAAAAACTTTCAGTCTTCACATTACATCTGAGACACATTATCAAATTTCGACATCATGCAGGCGCCGGTTACCTTTGGTTTGGCCATGGCGAACAGCAGCTTCTCCACGCTCTTCTTCCCGCATCCTGACTCCGTCTGCTGACTGGCTACCAGCAGGAAGTCGTCGCAGCAGCCGCCAAAGGTAACCACCGACTGGTAAGAGTACGAGGCCAGCGTGTGCTAAAAAAAATAAAATAAAAATAAAAACAGTGGCGTTACTTTGCTAGATGCTCAGTTTGGCTGACAATTTTCCTGAGAGAGAAAGCGACCATGGCGTAGTCCAACACACATAGCCCGTCCTCGTTGACGGCCAACCAGGCCGGGCCTTGCTCGTGAGGTGCGGGGGGCACAGCCTGCAAACACGTAAAATATTTGTTAAAAAGAAGCTAAATCCCAAATGGTATTTGAAAAGAACGCATTGTATGTGCCATCACTGGTCAAAACCGAGTTTTGACTTGTGGCGTTCCCTGCAAAGCGATATAAAAATGAGGCGAAAATGGTCGTACCTTGACACTGAAGAGTTTGGCCCCAAACAGGGTCCACCCGCGCGCCACCGTCAAGTAAATTCTCACGCACTCGGCCGCGCTGCAGCCGCGTAGCATGGACCACCTGGCCGACAAACGCTCGCTCAGCTCCCTGAAAAGGAGGTCGCAATATGCACACAGAATACGACTCATTTATTAAACCGACACCGACAGGAAAGGTGTCAATATTTTCTCATTTACCAATAATAAGTGTATCGTATCATATGCATCATACTTAGAGCTGTTTCTCATATTTTGACGCATTCACATGAGTCAAATATTTCTTGGCATGATGCAAACTCCAAGCAAAAATGATAAAATGATTTTCATTTCTGCTCCAGTGGTCACTTTTGGATGTTGTCTGGAAGGTGTACCTAATGAAGTGACCAGTGAAGCGCAAACACGAAATGTCTGACTGACCTGAGCTGCTCGGCGCTGCAATTGTGTTTGTAGCGTTTGGGGTAAAAGCGCTCCAATGCCTGCAGGAGCAGCAGCTGAGACTTGGGCTGAGGCGAAGCGGGTGTGGAGGCTGAGGGAGGGGCGGCGGCCGTTCGCTCCAGATCGCCGTGTTCCACCTGAAAAATATGATTTGCCAAAAGTCACTTTGACTCGTTCAACGTTTGACATCTTGGTTGGAATAGTTTGGGATTTTACCTTCGTTTTTCATTCCGCTTGACGTATGTCTTTTCAATTCTTTGAGTTTTATTTCGTTTTTAGAGCAGATTTGAGTTAAATTTTTATTAGATATTAGTGTTAGTTTTATTGTTTTTATTTGCCGAATGCAAATCAAAAAACGTCACTTAGTATTGTGTAGTAAAGAAAAGAAAGAATTGTTTAAAAACTGTGTGTATTGTTGTTTGTGTGTGTATTATTGTTTGTGTGTGTGTGTGTCTCTGGATGATACCTGCGCCATGAGGGCAGCCACCTCCAGCGCCAGCTCTTTGTTGACGGGAAAGTGGCCCTGCTGCACGTTGTCATTTACCTGATGGGCCAGCAGGAGGCGTTCGCGCTCCGTCTCACCCTTAACCTGAGAGCGGAAGCAAAGCCTGCAGGGGTGGAGGGGGTTGAGGGGAAAAAAAACTTAAGGTTCTGGACTTCTGTTTCCATGCCAGTGCCATATTCACGTTTGGTGTTGAAGATAATAATACAATTCATTTAGATTTTTCTTAATTATATAATGTGGATGGCAATTTTACGTCAACAAAAAATATGTTATTATTAATATGCGCACTGCCCCAATGAAATAAATCAATACATTTATTTGAACGGGCTTTTCAATGGTTATACTGAGCAGAATGATGTTGCGAATAAAGTTCTGCTGTCATCTTGACCGGACTCCATTTTGCCTCTATGGCAGAAACGTCCCACCTGTTCTTGTAAGTTAACCGTACAATCCGCGTGCCCTCATTCTTCCCCGGGTGCTGCTCCTTGAGGGCCTGCTCCCACTTGGAAATAACGTCACAAATCTGGGAGGAAAAAAAAACAAATTACAAATTGAAAGTTACTCCGATAATATCTGAATGTTCTACACTGGGTTTAACACGATCCATTTCAACCCGTTTGGCTTTTCAAGGAAGTCAACATTCTGTTGAGCAGACCTTGGCAGTGGGCAGCAAACAGTGCTCCAGGTCTTTTCCGGACGGGTCATCGGTAAAGAGCGCAAAGCCGGACAGCTGAGGACTCCGCATGCCTATCCTCTGGTTCAGAGTGTTGAGGAACTCCTCCACAGTGGTGGAGCCATCAAAACCCACCACCTGCGTGAAGGAAAAGGAGCGCGGTTACAGGGCAAGGCATGGCCAAGTCCACTTTCATGGGACAAATGTCTCTCGCGGGTGTGACTTCCCGGGTGGCAAACTGACTCATCAGTGGCCATTCTTGTCATGGAATTGGGGCAATCTTTGGCAGAGAGATTTTTGAGATGGAAGCAACTTTTGCAGTTGACAAATGGACGAGTCCACACCGATATACAGTACATTTAGTGACTTACCTGGTAAGTGTTGTTCATAAAGTGCACGGGGATGCTGAAGGGCAGCGAATGGTGGTAGGGGTTTCTCAGAAGGATGGAGACGATCTCCATGCGTGACGGTTTGGCCTCCCGCTCGCCGTTGTGCAGCGTTCGTTCCAGGGAGCGCTGGCAATACACTGCGTACTTGCCCACGTCGCTACTGCAATCGAGGAAACGGGACGGTCAGTGGCTTCCCTCCTTACCCTTTCCCTTCTTAGTGATGTCAAGAGTTTGTATTTAAAAAAAGGATTTGGCAGACAGAGCAACTAAGGGTAACACAAAAAGATCCAAGTGCTACTCTGTCCCACTGTTGTGGTGTTCCACAGGGTTCAATTCTGGGGCCCCTACTGTTTCCATTGTACTTTGTATGCGGTGATGGTGGTTTTTAAAGTGCTCTATAAATAAAGTTGGGTTGAGTAGTAATGAGGGGAGTTGCATTTAAGACGGCATGGGTCCTGGAGCTTGACCTACTCTCGGTTAATGTATCATCGGGTGCATTCGATGGAGTGCTTTTGTATGACTATAATAGGTAGACTCTTTTGCAGAGTTGATGTATCTCACCTGGGTTCGGCATTTCGACGCAGGTGCTGCCTGAGGTACCAGAGGAAGTGCTGCTGGGGAAGGAAGAGCGCCACGCACAACGACAGCAGCTGCCAACACTGCGATAAATAATCATAAATGAACGTCTGGCAAGAGGAAGAAGATGAGGAAGAAGGCGTTCCTACGCGTTGAAAGCCGCAAACCTGCGTGACGGAGTAGTTGTGCGGCGTGCGGCGGTTGGTCTGCTTGATGAGTTGGCAGTACATCTCGTTGTGCAGCTCCGGGTGTGACAGGCACACTTGCAGGGCGTTCTGCGCCAGCGACGTGTGGTAGTCCACGCACGGAGACTCCACAAGCACGTTGATGAACAGCTGGCATGACTGCACACCACATCGTTGAAATCATTTTAAACTATAAATGATATCGTTTTGTAATATTAGCATTCATGATTGTATTTTTTTGTGCATGCGTAGTCTAATTGATTTTATTTTATTTGACAGATATATGCCGAGTTGCACCTTGAAGAGCTTGAGCGCTTCTGTCTGCAGGGCGTCCGAGGGCAACGTGGTGAGCGGCGAGCGCAGACCTTCCTTGGAGAAGCTCAGGGCGTCGCTCTGCCACAGGCTGCATTCTGGGAAAACGAAACAAAAACAACAACAAGAACGCAAAAAGATTGGCTGTCAACACTCGGCAGCTGACACGACCAGTGAGTAAGAGACGCTTGTAAACACCGTCTGCTGGCTTTAGACGCCGACATGAAAATAACTTGGTGCTGAATAAACGTCTCTCCATTTATAGCAACGACTGAGAAGTGTGCAGTCAATCAAAGTATTTTGTGTTACTGAAGAAACAACTGTGTTCAGCGCAACCTGCTGAACTTGAAGATTTGATGAAAAAAGGCCAAACGTCATACGAATGAAATATACATCTACTAAGTGAGAAAAAAAAAAACACTAGAATATACATGCCAGATTTTACATGGAGAAGTGAAGAGGGGTTATGAGGTTAAGTAAAGTAGTTCAAATAAATTCTCCCAAGATTAAAATGTTTTTTCTTGAAGAAATAATTTCTGTAGAAAAATATAAGTTTTTTTTGAAAAAAAACATGACATTATGTTCAGCGCAACCTGCTGAACTTGAAGATTTGATGAAAAAAGGCCAAACGTCATACGAATGAAATATACATCTACTAAGTGAGAAAAAAAAACTACTAGAATATACATGTCAGATTTTACATGGAGAAGTGAAGAGGGGTTATGAGGTTAAGAAAAGTAGTTCAAATAAATTCTCCCCAGATTAAAATGTTTTATCTTGAAGAAATAATTTCTGTAGAAAAATATGAATTTTGTTCGAAAAAAAAACATGACATTCAGATTAAAAAGAGATTCTTGATAAAATTGCCAGATGACGATTAAAGTTTTTTTTCTTGAAAAAAAAAGTTTTGGCGTTGAAGGACTTTACTCTGGTAAAAATTCTTGCTTATTTTCTTAAAAAGATAAAACTTTCTCTTTTCTCAAAATTGTCACCCTAAACTTGTAAAATTGCTACTTTTTTGTCTTAACATTAAAACCTTTTCTCTAATTGTCCACCCCCCACTTTTTTTTTAAACAACAGACTAGAGATTGTACTTAAAAAAAAAAATCCCAAACCTCCATTGCGGAGGTATCAATACGTGTCAGTCACCTGCATCTCCGTCTGCGTCCAGCAGTTTACCGATGAGCTGCTCGCACTCGGTGCCCACCTTCAGGTTCCCGCCACTTCCCGCCGCCACGCACAAGTGGTACAACCATGCGTCCTGTCAATAAATTCGCCATGACCATTGTCGCGGCGAACTGACCGTTTCCTGTTTGGTGCCGACGAGGAGGTACGAGGGGCTCTGGTTGGCGGGCTTCAGCACCAGGGTGCAGTGTGACGACAGGAAGCCGCCGCGGACGCCCGCCTCGTAGTCCTCGTCTGAGTCGCACGAGCGGTCCACTTCCTGGACGGACGCCGAGCGCAGCTGCAGCTGGCCCAAGGGCAGCTGAGGATTGGACGCTATTTCACTATTTAAGAATGTTAGCTCCTAGCTACTTTAGCATTTCCAGGGGTCACCAACATAGTTCCCGTGGGTACCATGTAGCCCCCGAGGACCACATGCGTGGCCCGCGGACCTGTTCTAAAAACAACTGACGGTGATGGGACATTATAATTTTCTCGTTATATTGGATAAAAAGTGATCAATTAAAAATGTAAACACAGGCACATACCTCTTTCATCATTGTGTGAAATCATTAAGATGATCAGTGTCTTCACATAAATAAATATGATTGATGATGATTTTTTTTTTTTAATTGTCAATAATTTATGCACATTTCACAAGTGTATGTCTCACTGTGGCGCACGAGTACCCACAAAGTGGCTCTCAGTTTCAAAAGGTTTGGTGACCCCTGCTCTTGACAGTGAGGACTGTTAGCGTGCTAAGCTGCTAAATAGCTCAGCCTTTTCAAAGGGAGCCACCTGTTCATGGTGCTTAATACTAATTTAGCCAACTCTAGCCATTTAAGAATCGTAGCACAATTGCAGCTAATCCATCGCTGCGATTGTTTCAAGTGTGTAACAATGCAAAAGAAGCTATTTGTTCTTGCTTCCCAATGCAATAGTTTAGCCTTTGGAATGTTAGCATGCTAGCTGACTAGCTCGGCCCTTACAAGTTCAAAATAAATGACTTGCTCATGCTAGTTTCGGCATTTCTTGCTACTGAAGACTGTTAGTGTGCTTGTTACTTACTAGCTTAACTGTAATTAAATGGTGCTTATCATTTACCTTGTCTTCCTGGTTGCGATAGTAGTAGAAGACCTTTCCGACCAAACGGCACCACACCAGCTTGGAATGCCCATGTTTGACCTGGGGAGAAATAAAAAATTAATATTACTATTTAGCAACTGAGATCAAACATAGGATACAGGACTGTAACTGTTGAGAAAAATGTTTACAGCTTAATGTTATGTCTAGTAGCAGAGATGATAAAGATCTTTTCATCTTTTTTAAGATATACTCGACTCAATTTTATTGAAAGAGCACTTTTTCGTGGCTCGAAATATTCCGATTTTTTTCTTCTAATCCTAAAAGTAAATGAAATATTGTTTTCGTTACTGTAAAACAAAGTCAACATCCTTATATTTATGTAATGATTAAAAAAAAAACACTCAGCTGTCCGTGTTTTTTAATTTTTTTTCTCCACATTTCTCCGTATGCGCACTGAAAAGATTTTTAAGTAAATGAAATATTGTTTTCGTTACTGTAAAACAAAGTCAACACCCTTATATTTATGTAATGATTAAAAAAAAACACTCAGCTGTCCGTGTTTTTTAATTTTTTCCCCCACTTTTCTCCGTATCCGCACCAAAAAGATTTTGGGCGGTACCTTAGTGAGCCAGCCTGTCACAGTGGGCTTGGCAGAGGTGGGCTCCACACTGACTGGGCTGCTGGCCTGAACTTTTAGGATGTTCTGCAAAACTCGGATCCACTCCTCCAGAATGTTGGGTGAATCCGCCGTCAGGTAGAAAGTCTTCTTCTCCGTAACCAACTGGAAATATGTCAGGACAAAAAAATGCAGGGTGCTTTTAAATAAAGTAATTTTACATAATATTACAAACTTCCGTAACCAACTGGAAATATGTCAGGACAAAAAAAAAATTCAGGGTGCTTTTGAATAAAGTAATTTTACATAATATTACAAATGTGATTAGGCTGATAGATCAAACCAAGCATATTGTCACTTTCTGGGGAATTGGGCACTTCAGAATCAAAGTTCAACATTTCGAGGAAATGTAAATGAATAGTTTTCAGAAGAGGCACCCCGGTGGTCCAGTGGTTAGCACGTCGACCTCACAGTGCAGCCGTGCTGGTACACAGACGGGCCGACTCACAGGAGATTTATAGTAGAGGATCTCTCCGTTCCTCAGGATAAACCAGCGACGTTTCCACGCCTTCACCTGACTGCTCATCTTCAGAAGGTAGCCGCATTTCTCCAGCGTCTCCTGAACACAACAACACCGTGTCATGACCAGTTTGAATGAGAATCGCAAAAAATGCTAACACGCCGATATGCTAACATATATTTCACACAATGACAAAAAAAAAAATTATGAACAAAGATATTTCTTTCCGGCGCAGATGATGATTTGTCAGTGTGTCCAACTGCCGTAGTGTAGCGACAACTACTGCTGAGGAGGACTTACTAAATGTAAGCTTTCTTTTGTCTTAAGTATCGGCGGCTCGTACCAGCAGCCAATATGAATAATATTTCTATTTATGTTTTTTTCCCCCATGAATACTCACAGGCCCGGTGCTCTCACAGGAGTAGGACGAGGTCCTCTGGACTTTGTGTTCTGGTTCCGAATAGTCACTGTCCAGGGAGCAGGCGTCGGGTGGGATGGCGTAGTCACTCTCTGAGCTGATGGACGACATGGACACACCTGGAAGGAACGCCCGATGAAATGCATCCTTCAGCGTGATGAAGTGATTTTTCTCATACCTCTCTTGACAGCACGGGGACTCCCGGGGACGCCGCCCCGCTTGTCTGGACTCAGCATGGAGGTGCGCAAGCTGGCGAGGGAGCCGCTGTCGTCCTCGGAACTCGAATCGTCGTTATCCCACAGAGGCACCGCGCTGATCTGAGTGGCTTTCTAAGCACACACGACATGGTAGAATTGTGGTTTGATGCGTTGAGATGCTTTCTGTTTGTACTTTGCTGCTTGTGACATCAAAACAGAAAACTCAAACATAAAATGTGTGCTTTACCTCCGGAAAGGTTCAAAACAACAATGGCTGACTCACCCCTTTAAGTGTGGTGTACACCGGAACGCTGATGTTCTTGTAAATCAGCTGCGCAAATGGACTGGCCGCTGGGCACAGGGGCAAGATGGACCCTAAAGGCAAATCGACGCTGGTTAGTTCGTACAGCAGACCCAAGTGGATGTTTTAAATGCTAACATATCATTGTTGTTCTTATACATCAGGTTTGAAATGCATCGAAATGCAAAATGTTGACATTATTTTATTTTCATTTAATTTCTATGATAATATTGTATATTCATGCATGTATTTTAAATGCAAGTTTTGCTATTGTATTTGTATTTAATTTATATTTAAATTTGATTATTTGAATTTGTTTATTTTCACTTCATTATGTTAATTTTAATTGATTATGATACAGATTTTTCTTTTATTCAAAATATTTATTAAAATTGAATTTTCGTTCATATTTGATTGATGTGATATATGTATATTTATTTGAATCTCATCAAATATTTGTCTGTATTTTATATTAACCTGGTATTTGTACTTCATTTGTTCTATAATCGAAACAGCAACTACTTACTTTCATTTTAAATGCAAATCTTATTTTCAAGTGGTTTTACATTTAATTTAGATCTGTATTGAAATTGTTGTGATGTCATCGTGAAGTGAGTGTTATGGTATTTATTGTCGATTAATTTTTATGATTATATTTTTGGCTTAATCAGACTGTGACTAAAAGCCACAGCAGCGCCCGAGTATCTTTGGCTTAAATGGGACACAAAGCAGCTGACCATATGGCTTACTGTACATAAAGCAACACTGTAAACACCCTTCGGAGGGTTACTCTACTCTGGTGCGTCTGGAAGAAAAAATAACTTTTAATCCAGGCAGCTGGCACCACCTGCGCCTCCGAGACAGACGATCCTGTGGAGGTGCGATATTGTGCCTGTGACGTGACATCACCCATTCAGACGATTGAAGCCCTAGTGTTTTGAAGCTGGGGAAAAAAAAAAAAAAAAAAAAACACGCCGAGTCAGCACCCGCATCATCCACAGCAGCTTTTAGCGGTGCTGCCAAGCATCCAGCTCAACACAAGGAACGACGTGGCGAGGGAAAGCGTAATTACACCCGGGCCTCGTTCCTTTCATCGCCTGTGATTAAAAAGCAGCTATCTCACCGCCTTTCCGCTAAAGAGCCTCTTTCTTTGAGGGAGGGAGTGTCTGCAGCCCAAGATGAGCCCACACCTGCAAAGGTGCGCCTGGCCTCGGGCCGCAGGAAGTGACTTTAAAGGCCGTGACGATGGATCCCAAGCGACCACCCCGCAGCACTGGAGTGCCTGCTGAATGATCGGCCACCCAGGGATCACACCTCGACTCGCAGCAAGTGATCATCAATTGCCGCTGTTGGTTGAAGTGAATGAACTCACTTTGAGGAGTGTGGCTGCCATCGGTTTGGTTTGGTTCAGAAAGCGTCTTTTTTGCTCAGTGGGACATAGATCTGACAGTCATCCGCATAGTAGTGGAAGGAAATACCATGTTTCCTTTAGATGGAACCCAATGGGAGCAGATACAGTGAGAACAGCAGAGGCCCCAGAGTTGAGCCCTGTGGAACACCATATGACAGTAGGGCGGTACCTGTTGTTCTAAAAAAAAAATATTCGATACTGGCTTGGGGTGATGCGGTGGCGGAGGTTTGGGGAGTGTTGTTGCAAGTGGTTCTACAAAGTTTTCAAAAGTGGCGTAGGGAATGCAGGTGAGTGGTTAGTGATTGGGGGTGAGGACTCACCTCGACCGGGGCACCTGGCTCCAGGAGACGACTCAGATACTCTCATTCCAGCCTTGGCCACGGCGTAGATTCGACTCTCCTATGGGGAGTTAATCGGTTCCGTTATCACGTCCACCCCAAGATGCAAAATCCAAATGAGTTTGCATTCAGCTCGCCTACCCACGAAGGGAAGCGATGTAAGGGAGGCGTCGGTGGTTTTGGAACGTCAGCTTCCAATCTCTCTAATTCCTCCGAGTGACCCGCAAGAGGGAGCCCGTCCCGCTGCGTGGGCTCCTCCGATCCAGACCCTTCCACTACGCCGTCCATGCTATCTGGGAACTTGTCGTCAATGTCCGTTTCCTCGACGGGCTGGGAGAAGGGCGACGTGCTGGCGGTAAGGGTGGAGCAAGTGGACAAGGGCGTCATGATGTCGATGCTGACTAGCTGGTGGAGTCGGTCCAGGCTGTGCTGGGGCTGGCTGAAGTGCTTCTTCACCAGCTGGATGCTGTCCCGGGGTGTGAGCGGAGTCCGGATCTTGGGTAAAGTCAGGCTGGCGCCTGACTGGGGAGCCGCTGCCTGGGCGGGATTTGGAAAGGGGTTGTTTGTAGAGGGCGAACGTGGCACAGATGAGCTTTGGGGAGCGTGCCGGGGGGGAGACTTTGAGGAGCCGGGGGGTGCTTGGGCCATCTCGTACGCTGAGGAAGAAGACGAAGATGACGAGGACGAGTGAAGGCACTGGGAGCCGAACTTGCTGTTCAGTTTGTCCGAGTTGTCTTTACCCTCGGAGCAGCTGACGGGTTCTGGTCCGGGGTTCTTCCTGCTTTGGCCTTGTGAGTGAGGATTGGGGGTTGGAATGCAGCCTTTGCAAATCCCTTTACGGGTGAGTTCTGGAGATCTTTTCAAATCTGAGAGCAAGAAGAGATCGGTTCAATAACTCGGGGAGGGTGTGATAGTTGACTGCACCCCAAGCCTAGAAAAGAGAGGACATTGCCCCACCACCCATTTGGTATCGTGACCCTGCGACGCCCACCTCCTTTTGTATTTGCAGAACTACCAATCACAACCACGCTCCCCAAATCTCCGAATAGAACAACCGATTGCAACCGCACATCACTGAGCCATCGACAAATTCGCGAAACGACCAGGTGCCCCTCTTTCCACAACACCACACTTCCCGACCTCCTGTCGACTTGGTAACCGGAAGAATGGATTGCAACACTGCATTCTCATCCCATCGAAAAGCCAAGACCACCCCATAAAACTCAAATTATAACCATCAGTCAATCACAGGGCAGAGATAGACACAGATGAGCAGTCACCCGTTGGCAAGTTTTTGGCGGCTCCGCGGGCGACCGCCGGGCTCCTGCTGTCATCTGATGAGGGTGACGTACCGCGACCGCTATGAGGAAACGGGGGACTGCCAGGTCCCGGGTGGACGTCTGCCCTGGGGGAGCTTACGGGCGATCCAGCGGGATACGTGACCGGTTTCTCTAAAAGAGCTGAGGAATGACACGACACTCGTTAGCTTTGTATGCAGAACCAGGTGAAGGATGAGATCTTTGCCCACCTTGTAGTTTGTCCTGCAGCAACCTGATCTGCTGCGTCTGCTTCCCGTTGGCCTCTTGAAGCTGCTGGTTCTCTTGCTCCAGCTACAGATAATATACGTTGGGCTCTATTTTCATTCATACGCAGAGTTAGACGGTGCTGACTAGACTAGGCGTTGAACAAAAATTTGGGCCCTTCGGGCTTGATTCACGAAATGCTTTCACATGCAAAAAACTGGCACAAACTTGACTGCTCGCGTAATAACGCCTCCGCATACATTAGCTGATTCGATGACCTGATGCAACCAGCAGTGATTCTGCCAAATGTCCAAAAATGCAGCTCAGTTCAATATGTAACACTTCCAATTCCATCATTTCAAACTTCCTTTTGTATCTGCAGCGCGCTGCCAAATTTGCAGAGGCGGTAACCAAAAACCTTCTTTTGCAGACAGTGGTCAGCGACATTTTTACATCCGACGCCAATTTAGCACCTGAATTTGGGATGTGGAACATCCCATGTCCACAACGGGACGCAACCGCTCACACTTACCTCTCGGAGCTTTATCGTCACCCAGTCTTTAATCTTGGCCGCCTTCTCCTCAATGATTTTCGCCTCCTGGGCTCTGACTACGATCTGGAGGAGGGGAAAACATGACATTATGTACGGACCAAACCAAACTGTTTTACTACGGCAGGGCTTCTTAAAATCTTGAGGTGCAGGGATTGACGGTTCCTCGACATCAGTGTGAAGGACGTTTTTAAAATGATATTTTATTGCAAACTATTTTGCAGAGCCCAAGCTGGATGAGAAGGGCAGTTGCGTGGGAAAGTTCCACTCCGGCCCCACCTGTTTTTCGAGCTGTATCTCTAATCTCTTGATGGTGGCATCTTTTTCTTGGACCCGGGCGCTCAGGTCTTGATACTTCCTGTTCAATAAGCTTTCGGACCCTCTGCTTTGGACATTTGCCGACTTGAGTTTTTCCTCCATGGTGTGGATCTGAAAAGTTGGAAAAAGTTGAAGCCGAGGAATGAAAAGCAGGACAAAAGCTAGCCTTTTTCACCTGTTTCTCCGCGCTCTCGGCACGTTTGGAAAGGGGTTGTTTGTAGAGGGCGAACGTGGCACAGATGAGCTTTGGGGAGCGTGCCGGGGGGGAGACTTTGAGGAGCCGGGGGGTGCTTGGGCCATCTCGTACGCTGAGGAAGAAGACGAAGATGACGAGGACGAGTGAAGGCACTGGGAGCCGAACTTGCTGTTCAGTTTGTCCGAGTTGTCTTTACCCTCGGAGCAGCTGACGGGTTCTGGTCCGGGGTTCTTCCTGCTTTGGCCTTGTGAGTGAGGATTGGGGGTTGGAATGCAGCCTTTGCAAATCCCTTTACGGGTGAGTTCTGGAGATCTTTTCAAATCTGAGAGCAAGAAGAGATCGGTTCAATAACTCGGGGAGGGTGTGATAGTTGACTGCACCCCAAGCCTAGAAAAGAGAGGACATTGCCCCACCACCCATTTGGTATCGTGACCCTGCGACGCCCACCTCCTTTTGTATTTGCAGAACTACCAATCACAACCACGCTCCCCGAATCTCCGAATAGAACAACCGATTGCAACCGCACATCACTGAGCCATCGACAAATTCGCGAAACGACCAGGTGCCCCTCTTTCCACAACACCACACTTCCCGACCTCCTGTCGACTTGGTAACCGGAAGAATGGATTGCAACACTGCATTCTCATCCCATCGAAAAGCCAAGACCACCCCATAAAACTCAAATTATAACCATCAGTCAATCACAGGGCAGAGATAGACACAGATGAGCAGTCACCCGTTGGCAAGTTTTTGGCGGCTCCGCGGGCGACCGCCGGGCTCCTGCTGTCATCTGATGAGGGTGACGTACCGCGACCGCTATGAGGAAACGGGGGACTGCCAGGTCCCGGGTGGACGTCTGCCCTGGGGGAGCTTACGGGCGATCCAGCGGGATACGTGACCGGTTTCTCTAAAAGAGCTGAGGAATGACACGACACTCGTTAGCTTTGTATGCAGAACCAGGTGAAGGATGAGATCTTTGCCCACCTTGTAGTTTGTCCTGCAGCAACCTGATCTGCTGCGTCTGCTTCCCGTTGGCCTCTTGAAGCTGCTGGTTCTCTTGCTCCAGCTACAGATAATATACGTTGGGCTCTATTTTCATTCATACGCAGAGTTAGACGGTGCTGACTAGACTAGGCGTTGAACAAAAATTTGGGCCCTTCGGGCTTGATTCACGAAATGCTTTCACATGCAAAAAACTGGCACAAACTTGACTGCTCGCGTAATAACGCCTCCGCATACATTAGCTGATTCGATGACCTGATGCAACCAGCAGTGATTCTGCCAAATGTCCAAAAATGCAGCTCAGTTCAATATGTAACACTTCCAATTCCATCATTTCAAACTTCCTTTTGTATCTGCAGCGCGCTGCCAAATTTGCAGAGGCGGTAACCAAAAACCTTCTTTTGCAGACAGTGGTCAGCGACATTTTTACATCCGACGCCAATTTAGCACCTGAATTTGGGATGTGGAACATCCCATGTCCACAACGGGACGCAACCGCTCACACTTACCTCTCGGAGCTTTATCGTCACCCAGTCTTTAATCTTGGCCGCCTTCTCCTCAATGATTTTCGCCTCCTGGGCTCTGACTACGATCTGGAGGAGGGGAAAACATGACATTATGTACGGACCAAACCAAACTGTTTTACTACGGCAGGGCTTCTTAAAATCTTGAGGTGCAGGGATTGACGGTTCCTCGACATCAGTGTGAAGGACGTTTTTAAAATGATATTTTATTGCAAACTATTTTGCAGAGCCCAAGCTGGATGAGAAGGGCAGTTGCGTGGGAAAGTTCCACTCCGGCCCCACCTGTTTTTCGAGCTGTATCTCTAATCTCTTGATGGTGGCATCTTTTTCTTGGACCCGGGCGCTCAGGTCTTGATACTTCCTGTTCAATAAGCTTTCGGACCCTCTGCTTTGGACATTTGCCGACTTGAGTTTTTCCTCCATGGTGTGGATCTGAAAAGTTGGAAAAAGTTGAAGCCGAGGAATGAAAAGCAGGACAAAAGCTAGCCTTTTTCACCTGTTTCTCCGCGCTCTCGGCACGCTGGTCGGCCTCGATCACCCGCTGCTCCAACTCCTGCATCTGAGTCAAAGACACAAAGGCGCCCGGGGTTACCATGGTTTCACGCGTCCGGGGTAGAACTCGAGCATGACCCCCCGCCGCCCTCTTTCTCTCTTCACTAGGAAGCGTGTGGGAAAGTTCAACATGGCCGACAGACGTGAAAAAGTCCTCAACAGTAATTAATCGTATTTTGTTGACCGCCAGACATGTTCCGCTACGCAACCGCTGCTGATCAAACGAGAGCGCACACTTAAGCGCGGTGGGGAAATGTTTTTTGGGAAGGTTAAAAGATAAATCATAATTGACTTGCAAAATCTTCCACAAAAACATGACAAGCGCAGTATCGGCTTGGAGTGGTGAAGTCAGCGTTGGCAGTAGATTTTGTGTTTTGTGGTGAGTAGTGAGTGGAGGTGTGGCTGTGCCTTCACTTTCTGTAGCTCGTCATGGCCTCCACACGAGGCCTTGGGCACCTTCGCACGAGGCCTCACTTGAACGTAGCAGCCCCCGGTCGGCGTGAGTGGGCCGAGGTTGCCGCTGAGCATCTGGGACCGGGTCAAAAGCCTCACCGGTGAGTCAGAGGCTCTGGCAAAGCAAAGCGAAAAGCACTCGAGGGCGCTGTGGGTGGTCACCGCAGAGCCTTCTTCAACCTTGTTGGACTTTGAGTCATGCAGCGTGGGCAAAGATGTGCCAGTGTGGATGACGAGAATTCAAGTCACAAGCTTGGAACATTTGACTCTGTTTGCCGGCTTGCCCGTTTGAACGCAGCAGTTGCACTGTTCACTTGCTGAGTGGGCCTAAATGTGTGTGCGTCATCAAACGTCGGACTGATGTCAGCACGCACACGCGCACATGCACGCTCCAGACGCACAAACTGTATCATACTTTGCTATCCATCTCGCATGCCATATCACAGGACTGTATATCATACTTACAGTAGTGTAGTAAACTTGGCAATACAACACTGTTCAATCCTAGAATACATGATGCAACATTATAGAATAATAAAGTATATAATATGTGATCCCCTCTGAGTCTCCGCTTAGTTCTCGATACCTCTAATGGCGTCTGGTCCGCAGACCTGAGGCGCCGGGCAAGTGTGAAGCGGTGCAGCAGCTCAGAGAGGGAAGGTGGCGCGAGGCCATTTCAAGATTTGAAAACAATCTTAAAAAGAACTCTAAAATGGAAAGGGAGCCGGTGAAGGGATGCCAGAGTGGGAATGATGTGCTCCCTCTTACGAGTACCAGTTAAGAGACGAGCAGCGGCATTTTGGACCAACTGGAGACGCTTTGTGGAGGATTGGCTGACTTTTCATTGAAATTCAAGAAATTCGGTGCCATCCAGGTCACAATTTCCTCTCGACAATTGGAACATAGATCTGACAGTCATCTGCCTAGCAGTTGGAAGGAAATACCGTGTTTCTGGAACCCAAAGGGAGCAGATATGAAAACTGTATAACTGTATGCATTGTTTTATAATTGTCCAAGGGGACAGTCGAAGTTTTGTATTTTTACAAACATGACAACATTCCATTGTCATGTATCGTCGTGGACAACGTGGATAAAGTCGAATTAGCTCGAGGGCGTGTGAATGTCATCAACTTATTTTCTGTTCCTCCATCAAATGCATCCTCAACGAACTCCTCACATGGCCGTCTGCCTTCCTCACTCGGGGAGATAAACGCCGTGTCACTTTGCTTTTTTTCACTCACGTTCCTAAGCTCGCCTTTTTTTTTTTCCACACCAAAGTGGGTCAATGTGTAAAACACTCCTAACTTGGCAATAGAAACTCGATGGAGACCATGAAAAGCAGCCCTTACACACACACACACACACACACACACACACAAACACACACACACACACACACACACACACAAAAAGCAGTAACATGACGGAACGGTCGTCACTCAACGGACCATCTCAAGCGCGCCCACGCATGCACACGCACACGCACTTAAATCCTGGTCGTCGCATCGAGTGTTAATGTTGCCGTATTGCTTTGTCCATAACGTCACCTTCGATGACATCCACAGGAAGGATTCTTTTTTTTTTTTAATTAATAAAAAAATGTAAAAATACAGCAATATCGGCAGCCATCTTGTGGGAAGAGGCGTTGTTTCATGTTGATGCGCGAGCGAGAATGCCAAACAAAGGGCCGACGTGACTCAGAGGCCTCGTACCCGCCTGTACTGTACTGTACATGTTCACTTAAACAAGGCACGCGATTGGTTCCCAGCGCGACATCGACCAATGAGAGACCTCACGGTTTTCATCTTTCACAGGTGGTTTCTGGTCCCCATTATTTGCAAAAAATAAAAAATAAAAAATGAGGGATTACGTTACCATGCTATCATTATTGAGAAAGTGTCCTGTAAGCTACTAAATAATTTTACTAAGCTATACCATGCTTTATTTTACGATACAATGACGATATCTCCTCTCAAGTCTTGTACTTGTGGTGCTGATGATCCACTATGGACAATAATCGTCTGAGGACATGGCTTTTTGGACAAGCGGGATCAAATAGGGAGTAGTCACAATCTGGGCAAAGTTAACAAGCCTGACTTCGGAATTGAAGCGCCACGGTGACTTATGTTGAAAATTAGAAGCGTGCAACCAACCTCCGGTGAGACACGCTGACTGGACACCAGTTTATCATCACACCTTTGCCCAAACACTGACTCAGGCGATTTAATCGTTGCCTCGTGCGCAAACACTTATTCACAGTGCTACTGTGGTCTGTGCGCGATTTTATCTTGTCTAGTCACGGAAAAAAGAAGAAGAAGGCTTCAAGTTGAGCCACCAAAACGTTTCCACCGTTTCGGGACTGGGTTGTCTCATGGAGACAAAGAGGACATTTTCGCTCCATCCCGTCGAGAAAGCTCCATCCCGTTCGGCCGCATGGCTCGGTGTGCGGCAGACTTTACGCTGGACATTCACGTCTTCTGCTCAAGAATTTCATCACAGCACCAATGTGGAATAGGGGGTGGGGGTGGGAGGGGGGCATCAAGTCCAATGTTAACAACTGAGAAGGTCGTCCCAGAGCCGTAACAGTGGCGGGACATATGAGAGAATTCTACAATTCCGGGACCGAGTGTGAAATTGAACACTTGACACTGATTTGACCCGCCCAAATTCCATGTCCGGGATCACCCACGACGCCTTTCGGTCCCCTCATACCTTCTCGGCTAGCAGCTCCCGGATTTTCCCCGCTTGGAGTCGGAACCTCAGCAGCTGCATCTCCAGAGCCACGCAGCGCTTCTGCCAATCCACGCCGGAGGCTCCCACGCGTCCCGCAGCAGCGCCGCCCTCCAGCACGTCGGCCATGGCCACGATTTCCCTCGGACTGAAATGAGAGTGCCAGAGTTGTGCTTATTTCAATTGTGCAAGGTGGTGGTTATGGTGAAGAATTGGCGAGAGGAGTCACTGCATTCGTTACAGTGTATGACACGAACATGACGTTGGTGACCAAGTATGCAGTTGACTTTTTTTTTGGGGGGGGGGGGGCGACTGTGGAAAGTTGAATGTCGGTTTGTCTTCCGATTTCTATTGCGCAAGGTGCTGTTTTTCCATTTATCTCCTCGGGTGGAGATACACGCCACTTGATGCCGTTTCCTCGAGCAAGCGTGGCATCTGTTTTCATTTACAAGACAAGAGTCATTTCACTTCCGTCCTGGTGATTCAGTGAGCAAAAAGTGCGGCGGATAGACTGAAAACACTTCCTCCCCGTGACACGCCGGAGAGGAGCGCAAACGAACAAAACAGCTGGACCGAGTAAAGCTTGAAACTTTATTTCCATTCCCTCGCATGCCCACACACAAAACCTCAGCGGGGAGGATGTGTCTTCGGGGGGAGTCGGGTTCATTCGCTCCCAGGCCGGCCGGCCAAAGCGGGTCAGCTCTGCCTCCTAACCCCAAACCTCCTTCCTCCCTCTGTCATGCAATCCCTTCTTAATTACAAGGCAGGGCTGAAACTGGATGCTAGTCCGGTCTGGCACAATGGTGTCTTTCTGCATGACAGTCCCATAAGAGGGGAGTGCAGGGTGGCAGGGGGGGGTTCTTCAGCTCTCGCAGTCACAGAGAAAGGAGGCAAGAATGTGTGAAGATGAATGGACAAAGTGCTGAACGCAGGAAACTGATGGTGCGCTACACCTTTTGTGGAGGAGGAAGCTTGTTTTGAAAGTTTAAGGCCTTTCAGGACACAAGGATGAGGACTTTTTTTGCAAAATCCAGCCCCCCAGGAATAGGTTCATGCAAGCAGCATGAAATTTGGTCGGAACATCTCGACAGGATAGCTCGCTAGCTAGCAAGATGGATTGCTAACTAGATAGCAAAATAAGGCAATAAATCAAGATAGCTGGATAACTGGATTTAGCTATCCATTTATCCAGCTATCCAGCTAGCTAGCTATCCATTTATCCAGCTATCTTGATATCTTGCCATTTAGTTAGCTGTCCATCTTGCTAGCTAGCTATCTTGTCAAGATGTGCCAAACTAGATAGATAGATAGATAGATAGATAGATAGATAGATAGATAGATAGATAGATAGGCACATCAAAGCAACATGGCTATGTTGGCTACTTCCTGTGTCTTTTCAGGCCTGGCTTCTTGAGTCTGAGTGAAACAGACTTTGGGTGCTGAATTTTTTTTTTCTATACATATATGAATCTTTGTTGAGTTCCTTGAAATAGCCAAAATGACTGTTGTATTTCAATTTCCTGCGTCTTTTCAAGCATGGTTTCTTGAGGGGTCAAAAGAGACATGGCTACCGAATATCATGTTGTTGAGTGAAACAAAATTCACGGGCTGAATTCATTTTTAAAAGTCAGTTATTCCCAAATGCTTCTTTGTATGTCTTTTTAGACTCCACACATTAATTTTCAGTGACTTTTTTTTTTTCAAAAGATAGGGTAATAAAGTGGCTGGTACTGAAGGAGTTAAAAGAAGCCATATCGGACTCGTAAAAATGGCAAATATGTCTTTTCAGACAGTGTCTCTTGTGACTTTTTTTGTGGGTTTACTCATGATAGACATGTCTCCCAATTTTCATGTTGCTAAGTGAAACAACATTACTACCAAATTGGGGTGATAAAACAAAGCACACCAACAACCAACCCTGGCGAGAACAAAGTTAAGCAGTAACAGACAGAAAAGACAGGGCCGTCAGCCCAGCGGCAGACGAGACGTTCAAAGTCCGGCAGTTAAAACTGTGCGCCAGCGCTCCCTGCAATTAGCCCGCTCGTAAATACAGGCTTTAGCCATACAAAATTACAGAAGTCCTGCATGCGGAGGCTTTTGGACCTGGGATGACCACTTAGTGCTCGACTGGCTGGCGGCTTTGATGTAAAGCTGTGCAGTGCGGGAGAAACGGAAAACTAATCATGCTTGAGTGTAGAAAAAAATTACCAATAATGGACACCCCCACCGTAAAACTGGACGTGTGCAACGTTGTGGAGCGACTGGTCTCAGAGTCTACTGGAGTGCGAATTGTTTACAAAAGAACTTTGGGAGCAATTGCACAAAATCCTGAGGAGGAGTTTGTTTTTTCGGAACCCCTTGTAAATTGCCTAAAAGGGGGGCTTCCGACGGCAGTGGCAGACTTGAAGTGTTTTTGTAAACATTGGTTCTTGAGCCTTTTTTTGTGGGCCTGTTCATGATCGACACGTCGACCAAATCTCATGTCGCTCGGTGAAACAACAATAGAAACAACACCGCTTTGAACACGTCTTCGATGACAAATGGTGTCACCTCTTGCCTGGTTCAAGCAAGCCTCCGACGTCCTTGAAGGCGACGTGCTAACCCCCCCCAGGAAAACAAACGGCTGGAGCTCTGCCAGGGTGTCGCAGCGTGAGCCGAACGTCAGTGTAAACTTTCCACTGAGCAAAAGAAGGCAAGCGGGGCGTTAGCAAAGGCCACCTCGGAACTGAGGCGAGGAGAGACAGTTTTGCCTACTGTGTCTTGTATCAACAAACATTTGACACGTGGGCACGCTACAACACTCGAGTTGTGTACGCTTGAGATTAGAGCTTCCTTGGATCAGCCTGCCTGCTGGTTTCGCGTCGGGCCACCCAGAGAGGATGGCAGGATCCAGAAGGGAAGCCTGCCTTGGGTGGCTGCAGACGGACAAATAGACAGACAGGAAGAGCTTCTTCGACGAGCATATGGGCAGCTTGGGGGCCAGAACAAACACTGCAAAGCAAATGGCGGACACCTTCGCCGTCAACCTCGGAGGAACCGATTCAAAGTTCCCAGAAAGGAGGTCAAAATAGGGACCGAGAATTAACACCCAATTCCATCCGTGTAACGAGGCGCAAACTTAGCTGACCCGGAGGAACCTCGCTCCATTTCCACCGGGCCGTGATTTGGTATCGCAACGATTACACATACGTATAGGGCAGTGATATGGGGAAAAAAGGGAGAGAAACGGCAGCTTTGACAGGGAGTGTTAGGTCGGTTACGCCTCTGATTCTACCTCCGGTGACGGACGTTTTCCAGTTTGGCTCGAACATGTCGGTGTTGTTTTCACACAAGAGTGACAGACTGCAAAAGCAGGAAAATGATGGCTTTTAAAGACCACAATTGCAGGACACACTGTGCCATCCCCGACTCTGATACTACCTCTGAAGCCTGAATATTGATGCCCCTTTCTGTGTTGGGCAGTTTGGAGTGTTCCACCATTGTAGGTTTCGCTATACACAGGTGCTATCCCGCCCGTTCCAGATCTGATACAAATCCACCAAGGAGTCAAAAGTTGACTTTGCAGCCCTACCCCCATTTCCTCGATAACAATAAGAGAAAAGGCGGAACATTTTTACAATCTGCACACAATTATTCAAAACAGACACGCGTTTGCGCACACGCTGGCGACGACGCGCTGCTGAGCTTGCAGCTGTGTTGATGTCAGTGATTAGTCGCTCGGGGTGACATCATCCCCAGCAGACGTTCCCACATCCCGCCGCCTTGCGCGCCCCCCCACACCCGTGCCAATTCGCCTGACGCCTCGCAGGCTCCAGATGTGGGTCACGGCTGCACACGTGCAAAACAGGCCACGGATACTGAAGGTGTGCCAAGCTTGTGGCATCGCATTCAAAAAGACTCCTGCCTGGAATTGCTGCCTAAGGTGCATTTTAAAAAAAAGTATTGACAGTGGGATTTCTTTGTTTTCAAATTTCTAATACTTTTGCAAAATTTTTTTTTTGGGGGCGGGGGGGTTGTGTAATAAATTGAACGGAATTCATTTTGGATAAGGCTGTAACATCAAATGTGGGAAATGTGAAGCGGAAAATATTCGCAGCGCTTTTAGTTGCTTCAGATGCTTTTAGTTGTTTTTCCCCAATGATAATGATGATGAGGATTTTTTTTTAAATTTTCCAAAAAGCAACAAATAATAACAAAAATAAACAAATGCATCGCAAACCGACTGTTAATGCATCATCATAAATTGTGTTTCCACCTATTCCCATATTGCGCAGAATCAAATTTTCAACCACGAAACAAACAAAATAAGTTAACTATGTCGGTCTGCGTCTGTAACGGATTAATTGCATCGCTATTATTTTCAAAGGGAAACATGACCTTGGTTTGAGAACAAGGTTTATATTCGTAACCCGAGGGTCCACTGTATACGTATGTTAGTATTAAAATTTCCTTTTTGAATTGAATTGAATACGACTTTATTGTCAAATGTGCTGTACGTACAGCACAGATGAAATTTCTTCCCTCTCAACATAATTTTCATCATCCACGTTTGTTCGTTTTGATAAAAGACAAAGTATCTCATTTTTTATTATTTCCTTTTTAGTAAAGTTTTTAAAAATTGCTTTCTTGTTTCTTTATTTTTAATCCAAAAGGTTTGACAAAAACAGTTTTCCTTTTGGCAAAGTACAAATTTTTTTTTTTTTTTTTTACTTTTGAGTAAAATAGTAAGACTTTTATATCTAAAAAAAATTATAGTTAACTATTTGTCATGCTTTTCCTTTTTCTATAATGCTGTTAACTTTTTCTTTTTCAGCAAAAAGTACAAGTCTGAACAAACTGGAACTTTTTCGGTACAGAGAAAAAAAAACATTTTCTCCCCCTTCTTTTAGCCAAGCCGAAAAACACGTTTCTTTTTCTTCAAGGAGTCGCGGTGAGAGCAGAGAGAGCCGAAAGAAACGGGCGTGCACGTGCCTCACAACCGGTGCAAACAAACGCGCGACGACGTCTCCCTTTCCTCTTTTGTACCTTTTTGCCTGCTTGACTCCACTCACAGTCCCACGTTCCCAACGTCCACCGGGCTCGCCTCCGTCCTCTCATTCATTCTTCCCCGTTTTTGATGGAGCTCCCGGCAGCCCCCTCAATTGCCTGGCGTGCGTGTGCGCGTGCGTGTGTGTGTGTGTGCGTATGTGTGCACGCACACACATGCTCCTCCCGGCTTTCATTGAGTAGCAGACCCATCTTCCTTTAAAGGGCCCAAAGCGGGATCAAGTTTCGGCGGCGTGTCACCCCTCACCCTCTTCTTCTTCTTCTTCTTCTGTTTCTTCTTCTTCTTAGACCCTCCCACTCCCCCACTCGTGCGCAGGATATTGCATTCGAGGCTCCCCACGGGATGTAAACACGAACTTGGTTTCACTCTGCGGACGTTGACAGCTTCATGCAGTTACACGTTAGACCTTTGGGGGGGGGGGGGGGGGGGTTCACGCCCACACGGAGATGAGTTAGCCTGCTGCTAGGCTTCAAGATCCGCTCAATACAGCGGTCGGTCGTTTTCAAGCGATTGGATTCACACCAGGAAGTTGCCATTCTATTTTTCAATTTTTTTCCCATTTGAGAGACAAATTCATTGAATTGATGGGAAACCATCAACAATGACAACGACTTAAAATTTGTCGCAGTTCCGTCGAAGGACAAAGCAAACTGGAAAAGTCGGCCAGCTTCATCCCGACCGTGTCAGTTGCCCTTCAAATGATCCAGACGACACATGAAGCCCATCGCGCTCTTGTCGGGGTGCAATCGCAACGATGGTGAAGACGCGCTAAAGTTCCAATCCAGTCATAGATTCTTACATAACGCCATTGACTCATATTTTGCTAATTTGCCATTTGTGTGAATGCAAAATGGCCGCCACAGCCCCGCACTTCTATTCACAGATCCCTCTGGTGCAATTGTTACAACACTATGAGGCTCCCTCCAGTGGTATTAGTGTGAAAGACATCTTTGGGTTTAAAAAAAAATCTATCTATCTATAAATTCATTTTATTCGGCCCGGTGTGGAGTTTGCATGTTCTCCCCGTGTCTGCGTGGGTTTTCTCCAGGTACTCCGGTTTCCACCCACATTCCAAAACCATGCATGGCACATTGATTGCAAACTCTAAATTGTCCCTCAGTGTGAGTGTGAGCGCAGATGGTTGTTTGTCTCAGTCAGGTTGTCATTCCACACATTTTCAGCCATTTCATCTACTTCTTCCTTTAAATAAATAAATAAATAAATAAAATTTAATTTTAGCTGTGAAGTTGCAAGTCAGTGAATGTGGACATTTTCGCAGCTATGACCACAACCAAAACGGTAGCCAACAATGGTGGTCGGCGGTTTTCAGGATTGGCAGCACATTTTCACTCCGGGATATTCTTAAACACGCCAATCGACCGCATCATTATAGCTCCATATCGTTCTGTATCATTCTGTCACCACTGTCGTCGTATCATCACTTTTTCCATTCGGCGTCATTGCACCACAATTGTTTTGTCATTCCGTATCACTGGCTCATTATGTCACAGCATCACTGCATCATTCAATGAGTCTAACTTTACGCTTCATGAAAACGTTCAGCAATGACATACATGTAAATAAATAGAATGAAAGGGAATGAAAGAGTTTTTGTCACAGTTTGTAGCGACTGAATTGCCATTGTGCTGCTATCTTCCTTGGGCAGCTGCAGGCAGACATCTGTACAGTAGAGATGTGTCCTTGCAGAAGATAAAGAATATGTGTCTGCGAGTACTGTTGCATTGAATGCCTAAATGTGTGTTGCTGCACCTTTTGTGTTCATATCTCAGTTGCATAAACGGTTATTATGTGTTAGCATTAGCATTAAGCTAGTGGAAGCTAAGCCACGTGTTAGTTTCAAAATACACAAAGTGTAAAATTGGTTCATGTTTTATTTGGCAGTAAAATTCAACTGGAAACAGATTGAAGTCTGAAGTATCATCAGCGGGTATCGGCAGCCTTTACGCTACCCAGTACCTTAAAATACGGCTGCCATTGTAGCGACCCCTGGTATCAGCACTCATTCATCCTTCCTTTGAATGCTCATAGTCAATGTTTGTTTGTTACTTTATTTATTCTTGCATTCTGTCTTGATTGTTTACTGGCTCGCTAGAAGCTCAACATTCATCGCTTGGTGGACTCTGTGATTAAAGCATCAGCCTGCATGGCTCCGGTCAGCGCCACATGAGTTATACACACATACATACTTAAACACACATGCGCACACGCCTCCTTGAACGTTCTTGACATCTGCCTCCATCCGGGAGAAAAAAAAAAAAATCCTTGAGTGCAGTGCTCATCTGCTACCAACAGAGGCGCACGCTCATTAACTTGTTGATGTTTCAAAATGGGGGGAAGAATGAAAGCGGCTTGACCTTCGCTGCAGTTCTTCTTGTGCTGCTGCTCGTCAAAATGGACCACACACGGAGCACGTGGAGGAAGACGAAAGGGAAAGAGAAGCTAAAGGGAGTTAACAAGTCTTGTTAGCACCGGAGGGGGGCGGGGGGTGCTAATGAAAGAAACATTCGGGCCTTTTTTCCTCCATAAAAGACAGCCATCAGGACTGCTTGTCAAATTTCCTCCTCCAAAGCGAACATTTGCATGCTAGCTGTCAGTCATTCAACGTTCAGTAACATTTATTTAGTTTTTTAAAATATTATTATTTTCTATGAGGAGGAAGATTTGTTAAGCAGTCTTCAAAACTTCAATTCCGCAACTCACGCCCCCCCAACACACACACACACACACACACACACACACACACACACACACACACACACGCACACGCGCGCGATAAATTCAGTGGCATGCTGCCCTCTGCTGGACAACATAGGGAACATATGTCATTTCCAAGATGACCACCAGAGACCGCCAGAGCAGCCAAAGAGTCGGATGAACGTCAAAAAGTCAAAAGAATCATTTTTATAATTTCTGTTTTTTTAAATGAAAAAAGGAGCTTTTTTTTTTAGAGATGTACACGTCCAAGTAGTAAAAATAGCGAGAAAAAAAATTCAGAAAATGCTCATTGTTTTTTGAAATAGTTGAAAACTAAAAACGTTTTCTTTTCGTGAAGTAGTAAAATATATATTTTTTTCTTATTGGTAGTTTTATTTCCACCTCTGTCGAAGCAGAAAACAAGAACTGGTTGTGTAGTTAAAACACACACATACTGTAGCTTGGCTTTAACGTCTGCTGGTTGAACGCGAATGCGAACACATAATGGGAAATGCAATAGAAGGAATGGCTGACAAATCTGTAACAGAATCTATGTGGAGGGGTGATAACTACTTCAGCAACGGATATTTGAACAAAAGCAGTGGCGCAACACACATAGAAAGACAATTTTTGTTTTGAATTCCTGGCAAAGAAGAACTAAACTACATAACATGTGGACCGGATTAAAATGTGATTTGGGCCTGTATGTGCCCCCCCCCCCCAGCCCCCAGGCTATACACTGCCCACCCCTGTTCTAACAATCCAAATTCTCTGCCAGAAGGTCTTTGATGGTTTGGGTTCAAAGGGGGAAGGCTGTTGTAGTGGGGCTGTGGGGCATGCTTACAGGATGCCCCCCCCCACCCCCCCAAATCGAACAAGCGGGCGAAAGGTTGCAGCCTCGCCATCGGCTTCTTGTTGGGGGTGAGTGGCAGAAAGGGCCCTGATACAATCCAGCACTCTCTCCAGCGTCGCAACCAAAAAGGACCCCCACCCATATCCTCATCTTCCAACGCCACATCCCATTGAGCAACGGACGCCGTGATCAAAGCTGCCCCCCACCCCCAAGGCCCCCTGGGCCCACGGTCGCTATCTCGTCGCTGTCCGGTCAACCGGACTGAAGGATTGGAGGGCGTCCTGGTTCTCAAGACTGATTGGAAGACAATGGAAGCCCCTCATGCTGTGTCAGTTATGTGTGTGTGTTAAAGCATCTCAGACACACACACACAAAACCATCTCGAGAGGGTCCATGAACCCACAGGAGCAGGTGGCAGATTGCGTCCGCTTGTAATCAGTTCTTTCTTGGCCAGCTGTGGACAACGCGGGCCAACGGTAAGACGGTTCTCATGAGAACTGTGACTACAAACAGCATCGCCAAAAAGACTTTGAGGATTTTGGCGCGGTTCAAAGAAACAAAACCGTAGAAGGAAACATAGCTCGTGTCCATGTACCCACCAGTACTCTAGTCCATAAAGTCCAAGTCCGTCTATATTCACACCAGTTCTCTAGTCACTGAAAGTCAGGTCCACATCGCTTTGCTAATATTTGTGGTCCTTATCGCAACGGAAAGAGTTCAGATTTAGCGCCAGCTCATGTCTAGTTCCGTCATATGGATCAATCCACTGAGGTCCAGGTTTATGTCAGTCCTCTAGTTTTTCAGATCCAAGTCAAGACTGACGGAAGTGAGTGAAGAATCTGGTATCGGGGATAGAGACCAACGTATTAAAATCCATGTCTGGTCCATGTCATGAACCTTAGTCCCGACGGTCCTGGTTCATACCAGCATGATAGAAATCCAGCTCCAGGTCAATGTCTAGTCCTGTATCGTTGCCCTAGTTTTAGAGCTGCAGCTCATCAGGCCTCGGTCTCAAACCCATATCCAGATCTGCACCTTGTACGTTGAGCCATACCTTCACACGGTGGGGGGCACCAGTGTCTTCCCTCTTTTCGGGTTTTATCTTTTCCTCCCACCACCTGATTCTGCTCCTTCACATCTGGCCCGAGTTTGCTTGCCAGTGGACGTGCCCGAACCCCCCGCCCTGCCAAGATTGAACGAGCCCTGGGAGGTAAGCACATCTCCACGCAGGCCAGACACAGCCGGGGCTCCCAACGGAGGCTGCTCCGGCCCGGCCCACATGTTCCATGGACGGGAATCCAAAACATCCTGAGCCGGGTAGCACGTACGAACGGTGCACATCTGGACTGCAGATGTGCACCGTGATTTTTTTTTTTCCATTGTGTTTTCATGAAAGAAAAATAGCACTGTGTCGTTTCAAAACATCATTCAGCAGGCTCCTTGTTTATTGTGGGGGAAGCGCAAGACAAGAATGGGTGGGTCGCAACCATGCATATTTATTTTATTATTTACATGATATGTATTTCACACACTTGTATGAGAGATTTTTAACAACAATGTCTTTGTTGTCCAGATCCATTTCTGAGCTCTTCTCTTTCCAGGTCAGTGCCCTGGTCCGCATACTAATTGTTGTAGTCAGGGTCCATGTCCTGGTCTTTCCTCTAGTCACTTTGATTCAGGTCCACGTTGTGGTCAACACTCAAGTCTTTGTGGTGAAGGACAAGATAAGATAAGATAAGATAAGAAAACCTTTATTAGTCTCGCAATGGAGAAATTCCCAATTCACAGCAGCAAAGTTATGAATGGAAGAAGTAGAACAACAAAATATAGGAGCTGCTGGA